CCCCCCCCCCCCCAAGGTGTGCACGGGAGAAAACGAGGGTCCTCACGGTGTCCGCAGCCTCCAGAAGCGCCGCCCACTCCACTTTGGGTATCATACGAGCTACGAAGTCGGGGTTGAACTCCACAGGGCTGATGCGGACCTCGGTGGCCTGCGCGGTGGAGAGATTTAGTTAGGGACCAGATCTTGGTTCTCCTACCCCTGCCCCCAGGAAAGGGGCCCGAGACCTCCCCCGGCCGGTACCTGGAGGCGCAGGGGGAAGCCACGGGGCCCCACCCCCCGCACATGCGAACTCAGCAGGTTGTGGGTGAGCAGCTTCATCTCGACGCTACGCGCTCTCGCAAAGACGGAACCGGAAGGATGGCGGATTCCCCTGGCGTCATTTCCGGGGCTGCTCCGCTCTATCCTATTGGACAGCTGGGAGGAGCGGAACCGGCGAACTTGCTAGAACTTCCTGTGCTTGCCGGAGCGGAGGTCGGATGGGATCAAACGCTGCTCCCGGAAGCGTTTTGGCAGGAGATTGCTACGGCGCAGGCCCAGTGGTTTTGGCTGAGACAAACCTCAAATTGCTACAAGTCGTGTACAACGCAAATATGTAAAACAGTTGCAATGCAGGGACCTTCGTGGAATGCAAAATAAATATGCTTTACTCCTACACAGGCGCCTGACACCACCGTTCCTCGCCCCTTGCTTCGGTTAAGGCACGGAAATACTGCCCCAGTCCGTAAATTATGCCAATCAAAACAGCAGCACCCTATGCTTGCATGCCAATAAGCTGCGCGGCAGCCGAAAGCTCCGCCCATTTGCAAGTGCGCAAGTGATCCAGCCCCTAAGGCAGATGAGCCGAGCCGTGTCGAAGACTCCGCCGTGCGCGCGGCGCCCGCGCCTGCGCAGTGGAGGCGCCTCGCAGGGGGCCGGGGCGACCTACGCCCCGCCTTTTGCTCCGCCTTTCGCAGGATTGCGTGGTAGCACCTTTGTCCCGCCCAGCCTTCTACCTTAGCCGTGAGGCAGGGGCGGGGCAATTGTGGTTTCGAGACCCGGCATGCCGCTGGCGTGGCTGCGCATCCTGGGCAGTGGAGCGGGCACGGCGGTCTCCCGGCCGGCCGTCGTTGAGTGTGCGGCAGCGGCAGCAGCGGGAGCCGGAGGGTGCGTGAAAGGAGGCCTAGAGTGGACGCTTGGCGGGGTCCGAGGTTTCAGAAGCGCTGCTGTAGCCATGGCCCCGATCAAGGTGACCGTTGGCCCAGCCAGGCCTGACCTCTTCGCGGCGCCCCCCGCCCCCCGCCTATTTCCCCAATCCCCTTCGTCCCGCTTGTCTGGGGGAGAGTCACCCTCTTTCTTACCCTCCGGGCCCCTCCCCGCTGCCCTAGAGGCTCTTCCCGCCGTCTGTCCCCCCTCATCCCTTCATCAAGACCCTGTGGCTGCAACATTGTTGCCAGTTTTAGGGGCCTCGTGCCCCATCTCCTGGGACAGTCAAGGCTTTGGGGCCTTCCCTTCGTCTCCCTTCCGCATCCACCTTGGGACACCAGCGTTGAGTCTTCACCATTTTCAGGAGATTGAGTACCATGGCTTCCCACCTTATGGAACCATCTCCTTTACCCTTTTCAATCCCCATATGTGCCCTCCTCCATACCTTCCCGCCCCCATTGCACTCCACTCGTGGTTAATTCCCACGCTTCTGAGTTTTTCACCCTTCTCATCTTCTGGAACCATCCCCAGCTCCTTGGGAGTCCCCTTTGCCCCCACAGTCTTCTGAGATCTCCCCCCTGCTTCTGCTTCATCCTACAACCAACTGCTGGGTTTCTCAGAGGCACTCCCCTCACCCCTGACTTTCCCCCCTTTTCTCTACCTTTTCTGGCCCCATGAAGCCCTCACACACTCCCAGGTAGACTGATCCCTCCCCCTTCAAGAGATTCCTTCTTTTATTCTCTACCCTCTGGATGTAGGAATCTGCACCCCACTCCCCAACTTTCCCACCTTCTGCTGCCTTCCCTTTTTCTCTTCTTGAGTGTGGGACACTCAGCCGTGGCCGGGATCCCCTCCCTCCGTGTTGTCAGTGCTTCCTCCCCACCTCCTCCTGCCCATCTACTTCAGTCCTTTCCTGTAACTCAGCTTGTTTACTCAACCTCTTGCGACACCTGGAGAGGCCTCTCCCTTTTTCTGTTGTCACCAACTGGCCCTTAAGAGGAATAGGGCCACCTTGAAACCTGGAGCATGTGGGGTAACCAGGTGGTTACCTCTGGAAGCTCTGACAGGGTTGGACTTTCCCGCTGGGTGTCAACCCTGGCTCCACCGGACCAGGCAGGGCTACTTGGCCCTTTGTGCGCCATCCACCATCCGCACAAAGGGCCAAGGAGGCACCACCATCCAGGTGCCTCCTGCACGCCCCCCCCCCCCACACACACACTCCTTACCTTGGTGTCATTCCCTCTAGGTGGGAGATGCCATCCCGTCGGTGGTGGTATTCGAAGGGAAGCCTGGGAACAAGGTGAACCTGGCAGAGCTGTTCAAGGGCAAGAAGGGGGTGCTCTTTGGAGTCCCTGGGGCCTTCACCCCTGGCTGTTCCAAGGTGAGGGCTGCCCTTCTGGGGCTCAGCAGTTGGGATCTTGTGTACATGTTTGTTTTCTTCATTAGTCCTTTACATAGTCCTGGGGTAGCTTGTACCAAGTGGATGTAGATGATGTGACAGTTAAAAAACCGTTATTGGGTTTTTAAAAAAATAAGTTGAGGCTGTGAACAGGTATCAGGAATGTAGGAGAAAAGGTGATGCAATGAAATCCAACACCTCTCATTGATCCTGCTGGGTGACAGGCACAGTGGAAGGGACTTGGGACTTGGGTAAATGAGACATAGTGCTGCCCATGGAAAGTTCATGGTCTTGACCAAGGGACACTTAAGTTTGGATCCGAGCTTCCCAGCGGCCAAGGCAAAAAGGAACTGTGGCTTACACAGTTTTCATTGTCTGATCAAAGCTGTTGAAGTAGGGAAGTGAGGAGGGCCTAGAGATGAAGGGTAAGCTGAGGAGCAGAGGCAATTGTCCATCTTCTGACTCTTTGTTTCCCCTCCCCAGACCCACCTGCCAGGGTACGTGGAGCAGGCTGGCACTCTGAAGGCCAAGGGGATCGAGGTGGTGGCATGTCTGAGCGTTAATGATGTCTTTGTGACTGAAGAGTGGGGACGAGCGCACAACACAGAAGGCAAGGTGAGGTGTGGGTCCTGTGGGGTATCAGGGGCCAAGCAGGAGATTTTTCTTGTGACCTTACTTTCTCCTTAGGTTCGGCTCCTGGCCGACCCCACTGGGGCCTTTGGAAAGGTGAGTGCACCCACCCCCCGCAGCCTCCATCTTGGAAGCAGGGACTTGGAGGGACATGGCCAGTGTGGGGACCAGCCAGGTGTGGGAGCTCCTGACCTTTCCTTTGCTTCTCCTTTCAGGAGACAGATTTGTTACTAGATGATTCACTGGTGTCCCTCTTTGGGAATCGACGGCTGAAGAGGTAAAAGGAGGAGGGTTTCCTGTGCGGTTCCCCTTCTACCCCGCCTGTCTCCATTCCTAGCCTCCAGGCCCAGGCTGTTGCAGCTGGCCCGGCCCTTCTTTCTGGCAGGTTCTCCATGGTGATAGAGGATGGCATCGTGAAGTCCCTGAACGTGGAGCCAGATGGCACGGGCCTCACCTGCAGTCTGGCCCCCAACATCATCTCACAGCTCTGAGGCCTTGGTCCCAGATGTACTCCTTCTATTCTTGCCTATTTCACCTGCCCAGCCCTGGGCAGAGGGCCCCAGCCTAGCCTCAGCTGGGGCTACTCAGTTGGAACTTTGGCCAGATTTCTGTAATAAACACTTCTGGTTCATGTCTGTCTCCTTGATTTTGAATTCCTGCTTTTCTCAGGGCCAGGCCTCATTGACAGTCAAGCTGTGAGGGTAGTGGGCAGGTGCTGAAGGGTCGACTAGTAGGGGACCCTGATTTAACTTAGGAGGTAGTCAGAGAAAGTCCCTTGAAGGATGTGTTATGAAGCCTCCATCTGCAAGCTGAGAAAGGGCCAGTGGTCTGAAGAGTGAGGGAAGGAGCAGTTGTGCAGGGGGAGCTCACCTGGGAAGGCCCTGGGCAGACCTGGGCTTGCCTAGGGCCCGTGACCTTTTGCATCTGATATCTGGGTGATGGCTGATCTCATTTTGACTGTAGACCTCAGGGTAGAAACTTTGTCCCAAGGCCCCCCCGACACCTGGGCCAAACCTCAGCCCCACCATTCTTTCACATTCTGCTGAACGCCTTC